TTTCTGGTGGATCTGTTCTATCATTGTTCTGTTCGATGTCGATTCTTCCCCAGTGTCGTGAGAAGCTAAAGGCAGACTTGGTGTTCTGTCAAGTAAGAGGTGTCTGGAAAGATGCTAATCCCTGTATGATAACTTGGGTCAGTTCATTAGGGAGTTCAGTGCGTAAGGGTGAGATTTTCATATTAAATTCAGTCATTTTAAGTCTTGTTTGATGCTGAGGTTAAAGAGATTTTGCATCTTAAAGAGTCACCCCTTATTTTCGTTGCATATTTTGTTGATGTGTAGTAACGTGCTTTTCAAAAGCCTGGTGTTGACTATTTTTTGTGTAGTCTGTGTAACTCTTTTTTTGGTTACAGCGTTCAGTGAAAACAATATATATTATCCATGTTCTATATTTTTTTTCTCTCTTCTTAGTATTAGTACATGACGTGTAGTATAAATTACATTAACTTTTATTCTGATACTGATGAATACTTTAAACGATTACATGTGCATTTTATCGTAGGCAACATGTTATTATTTTCTCTCTTTTAAAAGAAGTATCCTCTTTATAGAATGTTTTGATGGTTAGAACTTCCCGTACTTAGATATTTAGCCGCTTAATCACGCTCAGACGGGAGGTCCACCACCATCTCCCTCTCGAACCGAACTCAGAGCTACCAACCCCATGTATGTGTTCCGTAGGCTGGTGGCTAACTGTGTCAATATTTGCAGGTCACGAGTTATGTTGGCCACCCTGAGCGAGTCTCGTGGGGCCAATGACGACAGGCCGATGTGAGTCTTGTCATCTGCCTCTTTCTTCCCTCACCTTAAACAGCTTCCTTCACTGCCTCTCTCCCTTCCTTCGCCCCGTCTCTCTGCGGCAACAGCGACCTCGTCTACGAAAGAGAAATAAAAATTAAAGGAAATACATTCCACCTTTGAATTTAGATGAATATAAAAGATAAAGGTAAAAGATCCAAGAAAGAGGCACAAGAAAGTGTCATTTTATCCGAAAGGCAAAGACGAGGATGAGTTGTTGTCGTATATTGACGGTTAAAAAAGGTCCAGTTTTTTTCACTATTACAGAGAAAGAACTGGACCTTCGACATGCCTGTAGACTTAACCACTCGTAGATCTTCTCTCGTAGATGGGACGTAGAAGCTTCTTTTAAAAAAATGCTTCACAAGTAGTTCGGACCGTAGGCCATTCTTGAAGAAAAAAAAAAGAAGGCGGGAGTGCTTGTATGGTAGTCCATTACTTAACACGATACACCTTCCGTTTGTCGTCCTTCAGTAGTGTGCATGTGGTCCGAGCTCGGCGATAGCACCCTAGTCTTGCATCACCGACTGACTCCGGTGCCACTCGTGACATCCGGAAGTGACCGTGGGAAAAGGTGGGGACGGGGGTGGGTGGGTGTTGTGGGGGTACATGGCGTGCCTGGGTCTTTGTGATTTCGTGTTAGTTTGTGTTGTTTTGTTTGTTCGCTTTGCTTTGGGTGTTTGTTCTTGTCTGCGTATGTGTTGGTGTGAATTGTGCGTGTCTTGCTTCTGTGTATGTGTGTGTGTGTGTTAAAGAGAGAGAGAGAGCGAGAGAGAGGGAGAGATAGAGAGAGAGAGAGAGAGAGAGAGAGAGAGAGAGAGAGAGAGAGAGAGAGGCGGGTAGGGAGGGGTAGACAGACAGGAGGACAGATGGACCGACAAACAGGAACAGACTCTGAGAAAGAGTCAGAGAAATAGACAGAAAGACCGGAATAAGACAACAATAAAGAAATAGAGACATAAACACAACACGAGACACAGACAAAACACGTATAAACTCCTACGATGAAGAATGACAAAAAAGACACACACAAATAAACACAACGTTAAATCGTTGCTTCAATAAACATGTAGTCGAATTGCAATCAGTTGCCAGATCTTGCACGTGTGAAGTAGCTGTAGCCATTAACACCTGTCTTGTACAAGTAATTTTACGCAACTAGCTCCTGTCTTGTACAAGTAATTTTATGCAACTAGCTCCTGCCTTGTACAAGTAATATTAAGCAACTTGCTCCTATCTTGTACAAGCAAATTTCAGTACTCCCTGTCTTGTACAAGTATTTTGCAGGATTTAACTCTTAGTCGCGTGCTTGTTCTTCATTAGAATTAAGATGTTTTTTTCAGGTTTTCATCTACTTTGTTATCCTGAATATTCATATTTATTCATTCAGGTGTGTTGTATTTTATATCAAAACTAATGCTCCTGATTCTTCACTTTCTACGATGATATTCATGAAAAATTCAAGTTCATTTATTTAACAAAGGTTTATTTATTTACTATGGTGTTCATGTAACATTTTGCTATACAAATTATAAATAGATGGATAAAACATTAATGTATAGAAATATCAAGTTGGCATAAAACACGCTGAGGTCAATCATGCAGAAGGTATTTGGAGAGATATTTACGTGTCATGCAGTTGCGATAACTTATCATTTTTATACATACATATGTGTGTGTGTGCGTGTATGTGTGCTTTTGTGTGTGTGTGTGTGTGCGTGTGTGTGTGTGTGTGTGTGTGTGTGTGTGTGTGTGTGTGTGTGTGTGTGTGTGTGTGTGTGTGTGTGTGTACATATACATACATATATATATTTTTTATATATCATATATTATTATTATTATTATTATTATTATTATTATTATTATTATTGGTACTTTCATTACTGTCACTAATCTTAAACATTATCATCATTATAACTAATTTCATTGTTATTATTACTGCTATTATTATTATTGTTATTATTATCCTCATTATTATTATTGCTATTGCTATTGCAAATACTATCACCATCACCATTATTATTTTAGTTAATTATATCCCAAAAACTTTGTCAGGGACTTTCTCTAATCATCGATAATTATACCAATGTACGTCTCCTCCAAACTATTTAACAGAGTGATTTTCAAACGATAATTAGGGTGTATTTCCACCACCCCTTTTTTTGACTGACAAATGTTGACTTTGGACATCCCTTCGCGTTCTTTTACTCAGAGCAGTGACATCAGCCCGTCCTTCATGACATCACACTGGCCCCGGTGACCTTACTGGCTCGCTTACGAAACAGACTGTCATGCACTCGCATATATTCACAGACGTGCAAGTCATATATACACCAACGCAATTATTTACATACATACTCATACGCATGAACATATGTATACGTATATACATACAGATACACACATACATATATACACACATACACACACTCACAGACGCACACAGACACACACACACACACACACACACACACACACACACACACACACACACACACACACACACACACACACACACACACACACACACGCACACACACACACACGCACACACACACACACACACACACACACACACACACACACACACACACACACACTTATATATGCACAGTATACACACACAGCAATGTCATTGTCTCAATAGATTTACTTTTTAAAATCCTCGTTCAAACACGTCTTTCCTACGTTTTCAGCACTAGTCGTTATTCACATATACACAGTACGTTATTCATCACTTCAATTTATAAAAACTTGATGCACAAACACCTTCACAATTGATCTAAATGTACTTGTATTTCACAATGTACTACTTATTTTTTACTACAAGCACAGCAAGCACTTATAAATTGTGATACTATTTATGTCAAAATTCATTCTTCTTCTGTAATTGTGTTTCTTAATATTACAAGAATTCCCACATTTCACGTTTATGTGACCCGTTTTTATGAGTCTATCGAACAGTTTGTGTAACGTAGAAATGTGTTGCAGTTGGGCTATGTTTTTTTGTGTGTTTTGTACATTAATATCTGAAATTGTTGGTGTTTGTTAGTATGAGTGTTTTTGTCATCTAATTTTATAGTTTTTACATTGTTCGTTCTCTTAAATGTGACACACCTTTTTTTCCAACGCGCATCTTTTTAAACTTGGTATTACTTTCCTTTGCGCACCATATTTTAAGATTTTTTTTTTTTTTTTTTTGACGGGGTAAGTTTGAATTATGTTTTCAGATATTATGGTACCATAGTCCCTTTTATATGATATTTTTACAGGGTCCTCATATGCTTTCTATCATTGGTCTGTATATCAAGCAACTGGGTGATGCCTCATAACATTTGTCTTATGTTGTAGATAGAATATGGTTGAAAGCTTAAACACTACGGTTCGTGTAGTATAGAATTAACGATTTTATTAAGGTATATAGCTTGTTATCGTCTGTAGAATAGTTTTTTTTATATGTAAGGGTTGTTGTAGTGCTTGGATATTTACAATTAAGGAAATAACTACGCTGTTGATATATCACAGAATTTGTTCTTCTTTGAAATATGTCGAAAGGTAAGTGTCCATTTCTTTCGTATTTGAATTACCTTATTTCTGACCTCACAGCTATGTTTGTAAGACCAGCGTAAACATCTGATATTTACAAAGAAAATGTTCCCCTCACTCGAACGAATACACACACGCGCGCGCGTAAAAAAAAACACGAAATTCCAAGATGTTTTAAAATGTTACCCCCCAAGCTGCCAACACCACACGCGAGATGAGTGACGAAAGGGAGGGAGGGAGGGAGGGGAGAGGGAGGGGGAAGGAGGGGAAAGGGAGGGATAGGGAGGGAGGGAGGGAGGCAGGGAAGGGATAGGGAGGGAGGGAGGGAGGGAACCATTGCCGTTACCTTGGCGATGGTTCCGTCTTGTATCTGTGGCAATATTAGTCATGTAACCCCAGCATTGCATAAGAGTTTGCATAATTCGCTCCTGTGAGAATCCAAGGGCGAACACTTGAAAAGAAATGATGGCGAAGGAAAGAGAGAGAAGAGGAAGCGAGTGAAAGGGGAAGGAGAAAACAAAGGGGAAGATACATTCTTCGAAAGAGATTTGTGGAATCGCCAGAAAGGACGCGTCATAGTGACGTCACGTTGACGCAGTTCTGACGTCACGCCCAGTCACGCTTGCCTTCTGCTCTGTGGATCTTCGAGATGGCTGTTCCTGTTTCCTGCGGTCGGAGCGAGGAATAAAAAGGAAATAAAAGAGAGGAGGATCTCACGATATTCCAGGGTCTCACGTTTGTTAGAGTTCCATGAATGATTTGTATTTGAATTGGGAAACACACGCATGTGCGTAAATACACACGCACGCGCGCACGCACGCACACACACACACACACACACACACACACACACACACACACACACACACACACACACACACACACACACACACACACACACACACACATACACACACACACTTCCCCCCCCCACACACACATATATATATACACCCCCCCCACACACACACATTAACACACAGTAATAATGGCAACGAAATCCCTTTCTGCATTACTCTTCGCACACGAGAACAAATAACTGCTATTCTATTTTATTCTATGCTTGTGCAGATATAAATACATACATACATATATATATATATATATATATATATATATATATATATATATATATATATATATATATATAATGTGAGGGTTTAGTAAGAAAGGGGAGGTGAAAGAGTGAGAGTGAGAGTGATATATATATATATATATATATATATATATATATATATATATATATATATATATATAGCGAGAGAGAGAGAGAGAGAGAGAGAGAGAGAGAGAGAGAGAGAGAGAGAGTGAGAGAGAGAGAGAGAGAGAGAGAGAGAGAGAGAGAGAGAGAGAGAGAGAGAGAGAGAGAGAGAGACAGACAGACAGAGAAACAGACAGAGAGGAAAGAAGGAAAAGGGAAAGAGGAG